TCACCTCAAGCGCTTTGTATTGTAAGGTAGACCCTACAATAATACATACAGAGAAAAACCCAACAATCATATGACCCCCTACGAGCAAGCACTTTGGCGACAGTGGGAAGAAACATCGGCAGAACCAGGCTCAGGGAGGGGCGGGGCCATCTGCTGCGACCGTTTGGGGTGAGAGAAGGAAGACAGGATAAAAGACATGCTGTGCAAAAGAGCCGGAGATTAATAAGAAGTATGCTAACAGTACAAAGCGGAGTACAGGTCAGTGACACCACCATGGGTTGAGGCAGGTTGCAAAGCGGCTTCCAGTAGTGAGGGTACCAGTTGATGCATGATGAACTGTTTGTTGCTGTTTAACTAAAGCTGTAGTTTTTGGTTTGTTCTCATCGCTTGCATAATAATTCAGTTGAATTGAATTCAGTTTCATTTCTACGGCACCAAATCACAACAACAGTCGCCTCAAGACACTTTATATTGTACGGTAGACCCTACAATAATACATACATAGGTTATAGAACATTTTGTGAAACAGAAAGCAATATTTACTCTGTGAATAACCTCTGAAAACACTCCCTGCCATGTGCCAAAGAGCAGACTGACACAATCAGAAGGTGGGAATGGGCAGAAAAAAACAGCATTTGCTAGTTGTTGGGAACTATTCTCGCTGAAGATCATCTTCCACCTCAGACTGCTCACCAGGACATCAGCGTGGATCGCTGGGGCAGAGAGTGATGTTCTAGCATTCAGACTTTTGGGACAGCCGTAGTCTTCCTTTGTTTGTACGGTGTTGTCGCCAGTCCATTGCAGTTCTATAAAATATTGTTTGTTTGTTTTTTATATAGTAATGACTAATTGATTATTTGTGAGCAAAATGGAGTATTTCACAGCTAACGAGTTAAATTACAACAGGAGTTGGTAGAGAGCGAAAACGCAGAAGAAAAACTGGGTAGATCTTGGCGTTGAAATCAAAGATCATGTTGCTCCATAACTGAATGTAAATATTGTGTTAACAACTTGCTTTCATAGCCCAGAATAGCCCAAGCATAAACCTGCTGAAGTGATGGCACAGTGGGAATGTGTCAGATCAGAAACCACTTAACTTTGTCACTCTGGAGTGCTGCAGTCATACGGGGTCCATTTTCTTTTTAATTTGGTGGAAATAATGAGTGAAATGGAAAAAAACAAACAAACCAGGGAAATGGAGTTACTTTAAAATGAAGAGGAATCAAGTGTTTTTATGTGACAAAGTAAAAGTGGAGAGAAAATTGAGTCGGGGGGCGTGAAAGAGACAGACAATGTTCTGAGCATCAGATAAAATAAGCGGTGGTAAAAGAGCGACGGGCGGCAGAAAGAACTGAAACCCAGGCGGGCAGAGTCGTACTACACCTGAAGCTTTACAGGGAACCTTTAATGTGAGTGTAATTTCAAACAGAGCGAGTGATTGGAGGAGTAATGAGTGGGAGGGCAAAGAGAAAATGGAAGATGCCAATCTGAGCGCTCGTGCCGGCTGAGGTCAACAGTTAATGGCTGTTGGAGGCTTGTTCAGTGACCTCACAGAAGATCCTGCACATGTAAATGTCTCCCAGTACTTTTACTCATCATTTCTAGGAAAAATTGTGGATCATTCTCTACCAGAAAGTTCGGTTCGTACTATTCCCAGATGTCATCATGTACCTCGTAGGGCCTTTGTGGTTGTTTCCTCTGCCAGTGTATCAGTTTGTTGTTGTTGCTAAAGCCAAACTTAAACTAAAGCTTCAGTCTTACAGTCTTACATCTTAAATCTGTACTTGTGTGAATTGTGCCCTAACCTAAGGCTGCTTTTACCCATGTGTTGTGTCTGTTAATTAAAACTTATTTTCAGACAAGAAAAAGTGTTTATCCACTCGACCAAAGTGGATTTCTTACAACCAAAATATGCAATCTTTCCCTCCATCCATCGCACCTGTATGATGAATGCGAATGACAGTCGTGTACGTACTCGACAGCTGTGAGAGCCCCGTCTGCACATAAGTATATAAATGCAAACAAGCTAGCCACCTGCTGCAATGGGCATTCGGTGCTGTGTTGTAAGTCATGCTAAGGAGTCTTTTTCTTCGGGTATCATAAAAGTTGTGGTTATGACTGTCAGAAAAGTTCTGATTTGTATCTCAGTGTGCCTGAGGGGTAGTAAAACAGAGGAAAAGCTGGGTTTTCAAGTTTAGCCGGTGAATGCTCCGTGTGAATGTGTCTACATGAGTGGCGGTGTAGTGCCCTCTCTTTCATATGTGAGTGCTGCTTTTTTTGGCTCAGAAGTCTGATTTAAAAGCAATCTTCTTGCGCATGTGGTGTCTTTGAGGACGGGGCCGAGGAGCAGCTGCAGGCCAGCAGGCGTCTTCAGAGCGCAGAGTTTCCACACAAGGCGACATCAGTAATTACACCGAGAGAGAAGAGGAAGAAACACATTCTCAGCACTGAGGCTCACAGGGAATACATATTAGGCTGCTTGTACGATTAGTGTTCTGACATTATGTTGCCCTGACATTTAGACCTCTTGGTTTTTAAATGAGCAGGGCTCTCTGCAGTGTTAGAACCTCTGTCTGCGGTGCCCCGGCGCCATGAATTTAACATGGAGAGAGGGCAAGCGTGAAGGAGAGGAGCTCCAGGACAGGTTATAGGCGATGAGTCCGATTTTAAGGTCCCCTCTGTGGCTGTAACTTTGGCTAAGTGCTAAAACACTTTGCGTTACATTCTGAAGGGCAACTCGGGTTATATTTACATTTAATTTTGAACCTCACTTGTTAAAAGCGTTAACTCTGCGAAGGCTAAGCTGTCACATATAATGGAAAGCATATCATTTTTATCTTTCCGATGCTTAATTTTGAGAGTTGATTGCAGTCACAGGGGCTTCTGGGTTTTTAAAATCTTGTATCTGCAGCACAGAGCAGCTTAGGTTGTTCTGAAAATGGTGAGAAAAGTGAAAAAGGAATTAGAATAATCCTATTTCTATACATGCAACACATAAGTAAAAAATACATAAGTAAAAAAAAAGAAAAGAGAAAAAGCAAACCAGAGATTTAATGTGAATCTCTAAAGTGAAACCTGAGTCACTTTCCCGATAGACGTTTTAGTAAATATAGCAAGGGGCACAAACAAGGCCTGTTTTCTCTTCATTAAATTGGAAACAGTTATCAGCAAACTAACTGTTAATAGAGTTTAAGGACCTGTGCAAACCCTGTAGCTTGGAAACAAAGAGTTAGAGATATATAACTGTATGTCGTCTGCATAGCGGTGAACAAAAATGTCCTTAGAAGTGCTCAAAATGTGGTGAAGAGGGAGCAGATGTAACAGAAACAATAAAGGCCCCAGAATGGATCCGTGTTTACTTTCACTTCCACTCCCTGGTAAACTGTGTGGTGGTTAGGGTTAAGAAAACGGTCACAGTTTGGGTTAAAATACACTGCTTCACAACACCGAGGTTAAAAAACGCAGAGTTCGTAATGTTTGTCTTGTTTTATTAATTTGACGCCTCCAAAGGCCTGAGATGTGCCTTCAAAACAAAAAACATCTGCTTTTTACTCAAAGTGCAGTAAAGAGGGAAAAGCTTTAAAATAAGGACGTCTTCTGTACCATTAAATTCTAAGAAACTTAGCAGGTAGGTTGGTGGTTTGAAGCATCTTGGGTAATATAGCTGATCGATCTCTGTGGGGGCGGTCGGACCATCTGCTGCAGGACTCCTTGTTCTAACTGAGATGGTAATGACTGAGCAAACGGCTCCTCTTAATGGGCTGCACCACTTTTAAAATGACTCCAGAGAGAAGCTGCAGCTCCTGTTTATATAGATATATAGACGGTAGCGCCTACCACTCTCTTAAAGCAGTAATTTATTGTTATTATTAATAATAAAGTTTTAATGAATTCTAAGTGTGAGAATGTAGCTGAAGGTGATCTCAATTGGTGAAAATAACTGCTTTAATTGGTAAGAGAAATCTATATGAGCAAAGATGTATATTTATGCACATGCTGGAGAATAAATTCACGATGCCTAAAATCTAAATGTGTAGCGCTTCACTGTATGTTTTCATGTATGCAAATAGACTGGAAATGCAGCTTTATTAGGTCTGCCCTTGGCTCAGGTCATCCTGCAGCATAATATATTAGAAAAATACCAACCGAGCCACCTGCAGGGATCACAACTCCCCTGATATCATGTGTGGCTTATACAGGTATGTGCAGAGGAGATAATTTGCCGCCGAGGGAGGGAGGAGGACTTTGGGAGTCGTTATTGGAAGCTTTGGTCGTCTGAGTGCCACTCGTGTGGAGTTATTTCCCAGCGTGTCCTTGAGTGCACTGCAGTCGTGCTGAAGTAAAGTCCAGAAGTAAAGCCGGCTCACAAACTCGGCCCCAGCAGCAGATTAATGCGGTGTATTTTCTCCAGCCTCTGCCGTCAGGTCACTCCTTTTGTCTGCACTCAGTCTGAAGCAATTACAATGTACCTCCACAGAACTCGCTGCCAGTTATGGTTTCTGTCGCCGTTTTATGGCCACTGCCTCCCACCCAATCCCTCTTTCTTTGCAGCTGTCAATAACACAATTACCTGCTTGGAAGGTCCAGCTAGCCCGGTTCATTTAAACCCAGCATTTATCTGCAGGTGTGTAAGTACACGTTACACTTTATCTAGACGTGGCAGATTTGTTGTTTTGGGCTGTAAGCTCAGTGTTTTTAAATCCTGGAGTTGCATGCCTGGAGCAGAAAACCAGTAAAAGGGGAGTTAAAGCCAGCAGCACTGGGTATTGAGCATTTATAGCTGCCTGAGCATTATATGATGACCTGGGAGAGAGAAGAGGTTGCTATGTCCGAGTGTCCCTGCTGGGATCTTTCTGTGGAACAAGAATTTGCTTTTGAAAGTGGAAGCCTGAGCACATGGTTTAACTTTTACACTTTCTCCCTATTTGACCATCTGTAAGTGAAAATAAAACCTAAAATCTCTGATTTATTTAAACCTGTTATCTTTGTGTCTTTCCCAGAGTGCCACTCAAAGTCGAGCAGGCCAACAACGCCCGGGACGCTTTGGCAAAGGCCGTGTACAGCCGTCTGTTTGACCACGTGGTGACCAGAGTCAACCAGTGCTTCCCCTTCGACTCCTCCGCCAACTTCATCGGCGTCCTGGACATCGCTGGCTTTGGTCAGTATCACAATAATAACAAAAAAACATCAGAATTTCAAGGTTTTTATAGAGAACGTGTTTTTAAAACTAAGAAATGTTTGTTTGATGGTTTTAAGGGGAAAAAAACCTGTTGGTTGGTTTGATAACATTTTTTCTAAGGAGGCAAAAACGAAGTAATGCACGTTTTGAAAGCTCACATCACCTCAGAAAAGATCCTGTAATAGTCCACTTTGCTCTGACACACATTGTGTAACGAATATATTTGCAGAGTACTTTGAGCACAACAGCTTCGAGCAATTCTGCATCAACTACTGTAACGAGAAGCTGCAGCAGTTCTTCAACGAGCGGATCCTGAAAGAGGTGAGAGCTGTTTGAAAGTAAAACCCTGCACCATCTCACCTCCGCTGGCAAACACCGTCAAATCAAAGCAGACATCTGTGGAGGACTCTCCATTTAAACTTTAAGTGTTTTTCTTATTGCAGGCAATTCTTTTCTGAGACTAGATGCCACATTTTCAAATTGCAGGTTGCAAAGTTTTCATTTTCCAAAAGTCTGAACATGAAGTTTAAATTTTCATCTCTGCAAAACATGAATTTTACTGTAATAGGTTTTATTTTAATATGAAAGTGTGCTTCAGGTTTATTGCTGTTTATGTCAGAAAACTTTTCCATCCGTTCAACTAAGTTCTACCTTTTATTTGCACTTTAAGCAGACACATGCCCAAATACCCTCAACCTGGCTCCATGGCTGAGCCTTTCACACTACTTACATCAGATCCTCACATGATCTCTGGAGAGACTCCCGTTCCCTGTGTTCTCTGGAGCTTTTCTGAAGCATGTAGCATCCAGCAGGAATTTACCTCCGATACGGACGGACCTTTACCTGCGCTGTTCTCTCAGCGTAGAGATGTTAACACCTTAAATGTGAGCTAGACTCGCATTTAAGGTGGAAAAGTATATCTGTTGCTTTTTCTAAGCTTCAGAATTAAAAATCTGTAAGAGTCAGAAACCTTACTAAGATATAAATCTGGCTGATGATCCCTTCAGGATCATCTTCTTGTGCATTGCTGGACCGTTTTCTGTTTCCTTTTATTTCCCTTTGTACCTGTTCCACTGCAGAGTGTTCAAGACCTCATCCACTATGTCAAAATGGCGCTCTTTAGACTCCACAGGAAGTGAAGGACATTTAAGGGAAGACGATCTGCTGAAGAGGACTGGTGGTCCTCGTTTAAGACCATCTTTTGATGGTTTTTCTGGCCCATTATCAGCACGGCCGCTATGACAGATTTGACAGCTCTCCTTGAAAGTTAGGAGATCCTTAAAGTTGATTTGTCATTTTTGAGTCATCGACAAAAGTCCTGAACTTTTGTGAACACACCTCGTAGAAGGACCGGCCTTTAGGCTCGTCTCGCCACAGCAGACCGGTGTGTTGTCTGCGCTACTAACAAAGCTCAGAATTGAAAGGTGGGAAGTTTCGTGCTGATTTTAGTAAACTTCTTCTTGGAACAGAAGTTGTTTCTTTTCTTTCACTTGACATCCTCTCAAGTTCAGATGAAACTCTTCACTTGCCACTTCTATCAGCACCCAAACAGTCATTAGCAACAGGTGGCACGGAGACTGACGGCGTCCAAGTCTGTGAAAAGCTGCGTTTCTGTGTGGGGAAAATAACAACGCTCTCTTTGAAGGTCTTCTTATAATAAAGGAGAAGGAACTCGAGCGCTCAGACCTCCGCCAACACACAGCGTTTGCTGACCTTGGAAAGCCACAGCCTCCTTAATGGGTTTATTGTCGTCGGGAGCTGTTTCCAACAAAAGAAATGCTGTTTAGTTGAAGACCCTGAGGTCCCTCTGTCAGACTGTCGTGTAATCATAGTTCACTCGCAGAATCCAGAGTTTTGGATCAGTGCCGTAATTGAATCATCTGCTCTGTCTGTAAACCGCAGACCTCAGAGAAGGGCCACATTAAACACTGGATTGTGTTTGACTTTCCCTCGACTGTGTTCTAACAGCGGCTGTCTGTTTCTTACCTTTAAAACTCCTCGTTTGCCCAAACATCTGTCTGCAGCATGAAAAGCCCCATCACCTTTAGATGCTCATTTTTGCATGAAAGTGTAATAGCAGAAAGCCTGGCCTAAGCGCCACTTGTTAGAGAGCTTGAATGCCCCCCAGGCAGAACCTCCGAGCCGTCCCTGCCCTCGTTAGACGAACGCCGGGCATGCCGTGAATACCGTTATGATTTCTCATTAGAAGTTTCTCTGTTGCATTCCAGGAGCAAGAGCTGTACCAGCGGGAGGGGCTGGGAGTCAACGAGGTTCACTACGTCGACAATCAGGACTGCATAGGTATGAAGACGCCACTCCTTGCTCAGCTCGCGTGATTGTGCATTCAGAGCAGCTGCAGTCACTCCTCTGTGCCGATGAAATTCTCTGCAGAGGGGTTTGATATTTGTTCTCTTTTACACCATTCCTTTTATTAGTGCATAGAGCATAATGTGAAAAATTCCCTACTCCAACTGAGCACCTCAGATACCCAACAAAGGTGCAAAAAGCAGTTCAAATTCCTCTTTAAATATCTAGATGGTGCATGAATGTGTGGAGGGGATTTGATCAGCTTCCCCCCTTTTCTGCTCTGGAACAACCAGTGCAAGAGTTAAAGAGCTGATGAGGAAGTAAATCCCTTTGGTTTGATACTAAACCTTCAGCGCAAGCAGAGTAATGCATCTTTAAAAATCCCACCTGCGGCTTTCACACAAAGTTTTGCCGTTAATGTGGAGAGTTTGTTGTTTTAGTTCACAAAGCAAGATTTCCTTCTGATCCTCTGATCAGTGCTACATCTTATCTTTTGTGTGGTTTATTATATTAATATTTAGAGCTATATTTTTTTAATATTCCTAAAGAAACACAGACTCATCCAGCTGTTTTCACTTCTCGAGCTGTTACTATAAAATTTCATCTCACACAAACAAAGTGTAATAAACCCATTAAAATCTCTTCCTGAGAGTAAGTGCTCTGAGACCAAATGCTGGCTGAGTTTTTAACACTTTGTGCAGCACTTTATTGCGAGAAGCAACCTCGAGGCTGAAGTGAATGAATCCCCATTAGACTCTAACGTTGAAATGTCCAACTATAAGGCTGAAATAAGCACGTTTACAGTGTCTGTGGATATCGGGGGAATCTTTGTGTGCTGCGTCCAATACAGTTTATGAATGCCGCTCGCTAACCAAGCGATAACCTCTCGCTCCGCCCTCTGATTTAAATGTGGTCATTTCAGGAGCCAACACATCAATGCCTAAAATCCTTAGAGTTCAGAATCTGCACTCCAAAATAAATAGCTGACTTCCAGACAGTGTTCATTTCATTGATTTTCATCATAGGTTTCATCAACAGTAATTTCTTTCAGGCAAAAACACAATAGCTAAATAAAATCTAATACATGAGGACGAAAACCATGACGTACTGAAACTTCTGTCAACGAATAAAAATGAGATGAAAACCTTTCGGGGAAACGAGATCCAATCAGAACTAATTAGGTTCTGATTAATTGAGGGGGGGTTAGCTAACTCCCATGCAAAAATAGCACTGCTTCAAAGATGGCTGTGCCCGTCGTTATTATACAGTCTATGGGGATGTGTTGATGTCCACTGGGTACATCAGACTGAAAAAGACAGCTCTAGTTCAAAGGTGTCGCCTAAAAATGAAATAGTCTATTTGCAGTGTGCCGTATTAAAGGAGAGCTAGGCCTGATGAAATTTTATTGTATACGAAAGAAAAAGAGCTTTGCATTTATATGTCAGCCCTATATGTAAGTGTGTCCTGTAAAAGCTGCTCATTATCCACCTCAGTGCTCATCATCCTCACTTTTAGGAGAGCTGCCTCTCTTCACTTTGACCTCCGAGCCTCGGTGCCGCTTCAAAGACCGCAAAGAGGACGAACGACGAAGCCCCCACGCCTGTGAACTCCCGTCCTGACTGAAATGTGTCTTAATAGTTCACAAACATGGAGGGAGACTGATGTGACAGGGCAATCTAAGGGGAAGGAGGTTAATGATGCTTTCTGTGCTTTCAGTATGAGATGTTTAACTACAGCAGAGCGAGCTGCAGGGAGGCGGGAGGCTGGCTGTGCTCGCTGGCTCGTAGCTTACCGAAACGCGGTTGTTTGTTTGCTGGTTTGGATTCCCGTTGCGTGTTATAAAAGGAGAAGCTCCTCTTTGTTCAGGGGACGTAAAAACCACAGTTGATGTAGCAGAAAATTACATTTGTACAAGCAGCGGCCACGTGACTGCACACAGAACAAGGCAGAGATGGAAACGAACAGGAGGCGGAGGAGTGGGAACTATTAAAAAGTTCTTTAACGTCACAGAAGTTTGTTCGAAGCGTTACTTTCACTTCATTCAGGTTTTATTAACTCGTGCAGCCATGTGCGCTTTCGTTTGTTGCTGGTTGTCTCCTGTGATGGAGAGAAGGTGGACGGATTGAGCAATGGAGGGGCAGATGACGGGATGCCTCCCGAGGTTTTTGCTGCTCGAAGCTCTGCTGACCTTCATTTGCTGAATAGTTTGTGAGTAGGAGTCTCCATCAAAGAGCCTCTACTGTGCAGCATGTCAGTTCCTGTCAGGAAACATTACTGAAAAAGACTGCTAAAGCTCACGTAGGTAGGTAATCATATCTTCTAAACAATCCCCCACGTCATCCTCTGAATCAGTCAGTCATCCCACGTAAACTTCCTCCCCTGCGCCTCAGTTTTCTGTCAGTTTGCTGGCTGTTTGTTCAGCGCTGACAGCTTTTCCTTCACAGGCGTGTTGTCGGTCACTGCAGACCTCACCTTCTTCCTTTATTTTCTTCTTTCTGTTAAAATAATCTTTAAAATAACATTTTGAAAGTAGGATCTGTAGCAAATTCAGAACATTTAAAGGGAAGGTTCTTTCTCCAGCTTCTTATTTTTTAGAGGAGCTGTTAAAGGTTAAAAATGAGCTTCCTAAATAGTTGTTTTTTAGGCTCTTCAGCTTCTTGAGTAAAGGAATCCATCTGTCTCCATCACTGAACAAAAGTGGTGGTCTATGACACCACCTGTCAGCCTCCTATAACACAGTCTTGAGAACCCATCACAAGAGATTCAACACCTGCTCACACCATGAGCCATCACGTGACCCCAACGGCTCACGTGATGATAGAGAGCCGTAAAAACTCTAAGGACCACCTCCTGACTGCACCTTAGAAGTTACATATCTGAGACCTGCATGAGTCTCTTGGATTAGCGATGGAACATCTTTAAGAACGGCTGCCTTCAGATCAAGCACCTGAGACAATCATGACCAGGATGACCGAGAACCTTCACAGATGTCCTTACAAAGACTGATATTCTTCAGGTGGATTACTTGAGTTCATTTTTCCTCAGTACACAGAAATAAAACAATACCACAACACCAGGTTCAGCTGTGTAATATTCTGTATAGTAACAGGAAGCTTCCATTTATCTTTATGCTCTCTCTGATTGTTTAAATAACCGTTCACGTCTCTCCTGGTGTGATCAGATATGCTCACAACCCAGGATGGTTCAAAAAAAGAATCTGTCTTTGTAAAACTCACAGCTTTGATCTCTCAAAGTCACACAGAGGGCTTCGCCAATGATGAGACTTAATCATTTATTTTTATATGTACAACTGTTTTTGACTTAAATATGCAGAGAAACTGGTTTTTACTTAACATTTCCATGTCAGGACCTTGCAGAAATAAAAATGCATCAAACTTCCATCACGTTAGATTTTGATACTTTTGTAGGAGAAAGGAGCAAAAGTTGGTGCACGGCACAAAACAGGAAGTAAGCAGTGAGTCCTCGGGTGTCCCAGTCTCCGTCATCAGGAGCTTGAAGCTCATTACGTCCTTTAATTGAGCCGTGGCTCTTCTCTTTAAAATGGGTCAATGACTTTTAATAGTGAGAAGGATTTGATGTTAAACTAATAAAATAAAAATCACTTCTGCACCATCCGAGAGAACTAAACTGCACTAATGCAATAATAATAATTATGATTTGGTAAATTAGGTCCCCATCACCTTTCAAGTCAGATCAGGTCAAGGAGAAACTGTTACAATCTCCACACCTCTTCCCATTCGATTAAACTTTAATTTGAATTTGCCTACATCGCACCCTCCGTGATTCAATCGGTCGTGTAGCCGTCAGCCTCGGGGTGATCCGCCACAGCTTCATTAAGAGGACACGCAGCGTTTATTTTTCTCATGCTTGTCACGGTTTTCCCCGCAGACCTGGTGGAGGCGAAGGTGGTCGGCATCCTGGACATCCTGGACGAAGAGAACCGTCTACCTCAACCCAGTGACCAGCACTTTACCGACACCGTTCACAACAAACACAAGGACCACTTCCGCCTGACTGTAAGTGACCGCACAAAGGAAGGAAAGTCAGGGAAGCATGCCACTTTTAACGCGAGGATTTTATGGGACTCAGGGAATGTTTGATTTACTCAGGAGATTCTCTCTGAATCATTTCAGCTTAATCTTTAGACTCAGAAAAAACTGGAGCTGATTTATGTGTTTGTCTGAGTCTTCTTGTTTTACCCCATTCCCCCAAATAATCTGCTGCAAGGCCTATTTAGACCTTATTTTCCCCGTTTTGGCCTCTTGGGCAGCATTCAGGGTGGGCTGATATTAAACCTGAGAGACTACAGATTACAAACGCAGAGCTGGAAAAAGTGCTTTTTTTCCTCCTATCTCTCAGGTAAAGGAAGTTCTAGTTTCGTTTTCGGCTTTGTAAATTTACCAGCTGCTAAAAGATCTATTAAATTAATAGAAAACTCAAGTGGTTCACCTCATTTTGTGTCCCAACAATTTGTTCTTTATATGTAAATGTGAAAATGACTGTCGCCAAACTGAGTCCTGAAATTGTTGCTTCTGTCCAAACCGCAGCCAAAAAACTTTATAAGACAAAGACTGCAATGTGAGAAGCTGCACGTTCTCACATTGACATGTTTCGATGAGTAAATGTTTAGACTGGGTCTGAAGACCTGCAGCAGGTGCAAATCTGTTACCTGTGCCTGCACGCAGGGTTCAGTGATGCTGCAGAGCAGAACAGCTGATATCACCAACTGCATTTAAAGGTGGTGGCACTACAGCCTGAACACGAGATGATGGACTCACTGCTCTGATATTTGTCACCACTAAAGATTATTAGCCGAGGAGCACTTTATCTGCAGTATTAAACAATAACTTATCAACAAGGAGCTTCACCTTCTCCCATGGCTCCTTAATTTTAAAACTTTTATTGATAATTTGGATAATATTGATGATATTGGTAAACACAAAAAATGGGAACTTTTGATATTGACTTGAAGTTTTGAGTTTCAGTGGAGTGACGTGGAGCCTGAGAGTGAGGTGATCTCACTGACGGTTAAATTACTGGCATCAAATCTTAATCTTCCCAGCAGCGAGTGATTGGCAGGACTGGGAATTAGTTTTCCATCGTAAATGGGAAGCATGCATGAACTCTGCTGAGTCTGCAGAGTTTTAGTGTGTGTGTGTGTGTTTCCACCCGTGATCAGGTGTGTGTGTGTGCCCTGCAGGTACCCAGGAAGTCTAAGCTGACCGTCCACAGGAACGTGAGGGACGATGAAGGATTTATCATCAGGCACTTTGCAGGAGCCGTGTGCTACGAGACGGTGCGTCACCAGAACACACTGCGGTGTCTTCAAAATGAATCATTTCTTTTCTCTGATCACTCGACTGCAGAAAACTCAACTTTTAACATGAAAGCGTGCCATCATTGAGATGAGAGTTTTAAAAACATACCGAGCGTAGCTGCGGAGAGATTCAAGTCATAAAATCGTGTAGAGATTTTTCCTTCTGCAGTTAAGCAGGCGTATCAGAAACGGGAACAAAAAGAAGAGACTCGAACCGAGCGCCCCGTTCACGCTGAAATGTTTCTCCTTCAGACCAAGTTTGTGGAGAAGAACAACGACGCCCTGCACATGTCTCTGGAGTGTCTCGTCAGCGAGTCCAAGGATCGCTTCGTCCGCGAGCTGTTCGAGAACTCCAACAACAGCAAAGACGTGAAGCAGAAGGCCGGGAAACTCAGTTTCATCAGCGTCGGCAACAAGTTTAAGGTGAGCAGCAAAAAAAAAAAAGATCCAATCCAACATGCGATGTGTGATACAAATACTTGTAGATATTTATGACCACCAGGACATGTACTGCTCTGTGGAGAACAGGCTGAGGCTAATTAAAAGTCTTTGCCACCACTGGCTCGTCTGACTCTGATGAAGACGTCCTGTCTGTCAAAAAATAAAACGGAGCTGCTACACCTCATTAATGGCTTGAATTAAAGATGTGCTCCAGACTTCATCCCATTGCCCAGTCTGCTCAGGCGGCACTTTGGGCCCCGGCCAGTTCATACTCACACTTCTTCTTTACTAAATGCTTGTTGTATGTTTATTTTAGGATGATCTGATACAAGCAATGTTGCAAACCTGTTATGTAGCTATCAAAAATGCAGGCCTCTGTCAGCTTACACAAAACACCCCGAGGCTAAAAGGAGCTCGTAACTGGTTGAGCTGGGAAAACTCGGGCCTAATTTGAAGACTCTTCAGATTTTGGTGTGAGAGTACAGGTCGCTCGAATAAGCCCTTGAGGGCTGACAGAATACCCTCAGTGAGTTCTCTCCAGCATCTCCTGGGCCTGCCCCGTGGACTCTCAGATGGACATGCCCGAAGCACCTCACCTCACCTAGGTGTTTCTGCTCAAATGCCCAAACAATGTGAAATCACTCTTTTCACCTCGGCTGTTCTCCTCGCCATCCACTTTCATCCTACAATCTGCTCCCTTTATTCCTTACCCGCTGAACTCATCTCCAACCTTAAGTGGGCACAGCGTGAGCTTCAGAGTTTGAGCTGCAAATTCTCATCATTGCTCGATGAAGCGATGATGAGATATGCACAAATCCAGAGGCCAGCAGGCTCATTCAAGGGTTCCCACTCATCCTTAAAAAGTCTTAAAATGTCATTTTAAAATTTAAGGTAATTAAATGCTTTAAAATCATCGTGAGAGGATAATCTGAGGGGCTGCGCAGAGGCCTAGTTTAACATAAATAACGATGATGATAACTGTGAATCATGCAAAGCTACTCTACTCTATTCCATTAAGCAGAATAGTTCCTAAATGTTTAGTCTGCCTCATTATATACATGTCTGACTGATTGTTATAATAAAGCTGACAGCGCCCAGGCTCACCTCCGACGTCCTGTAGGTACAAAGAGTCAAAGTAAATGTATGAAATCTTCATCAAGAACATAATTTTTCACCTAAAAACAGTCAGATGAGTGTCTCTCTTTCACCCTGAGCACAGAGATGGCAACGTCTTTGCTGTCAGCTGGAGTTATAAACGGAGGATTTTTATTCTCCTCCATCGTGACTCATCCAGCTCAGCCTCTCACCTTGATGTGCGCTCTAATGTGTCACCTAACCAAAGGCAAGGTGAGCCAAAAACCACAGCGCCTGGCTCCACTCAATCATCCCTCCTAAAATATATAAATATATATATTTAATGGAGAAAAGATAACCTGAGGTAGTGATGGCCAGGTGTATTTAACAGGGTCAAAGCCAGAGAGCAGCGAGGTGTCCAGTACAAACAGGATTTGTTTCTTTTCTTTTTTTTAAATTAAAGACGCGGGAACACAATAAATTAATTTTCACGTGTACAGTGACAGTGATTTATATCAACCGGTCCTCCAACATTCATAACAGGCCTATGTTGCAAAAGTCTGAAACAACAGCAGGAGGGAAAAAGTGTTTACTGGAGGCCATTTTTAACCTCGCCCTGCATTTTTTCCAGGCTTAAAATTAATTGGAACAATTGACTGATAAGAGTTTCATTTCCACGAGGGGCCTCGTTTCTTTCCATTTCCTGACAAATTAAGGAGAAAGGAGGTCTGGAGTCGTTTGCACTGTTTAATTTACATTTGGCAGCTTTCAGAATAGCCTGATAATGAAATGCAATAGTTCAGCCTCGAAGTAATAAATGCATGAAATAGTTTTTCAGCATTAGCTGAATAAGGTGTTCTTAGTTATTTAATTTGTAAGCTAATAGACATGTCCTTGTCAGAAATCACACCCGGTGTTGCTGGAGGTCAGCGTAATGCCATTTTTAGGACCAAGCAGAATAAACATCATTTGTTTTCTGAATTTTCTGAAGTAGAAAATTACAGCGGATTGAGGCCTTTATGTCTGTAGTTTATTTCAATGATTTGTGTCATCCTTCTTCACAGATTCGTAAAACTGCGTGTCATCTGCATAGCAAAGAATGTATGTATAATGAGAAAAGTATTGGGCCTAGTTGAGAGCCCTGTGGAACTAACTTCTAACTAACAGCTTCTAGTTTCTGTAATAAAATGTTATGATCAGTGAATTTTAGTGCTCTAGCTTTGAAGAGCACAGGGACGAGTTCACTGTGGCCGGTTTTCTTGTTTTTTAGTGACAAACCAATAAGACGGGAGGTGCGGAGTCGGCTGGATACTTTGGATTTGAGCAGCAGCTGTTTGTCTAAATTCTTAATAAGTTATCCAAAAGTGGTGACGATTCAAGTGATGAAGGATTATTATGAAGCACAGTCGGTACCAAAGAATCTGCCGGCCATTACAATGAGCCTTGTATGGAGGAGTAAGGAGTCTTGCATGAGACTGATCTTAAGTTTGATTTCCACTTCCTGTTTGTTTAAGTTTATAAAACAATCATAGTTTGGGATGAAGTAGACCCTTTTTTACAATATTAATGCTTTACCCCATGGAGACGACGTTTGAAGACCTTCCCCCGACCTTTAATGCCGAGTTCTCACACCTCAGTGTAGATGAACATAGACATGGTTTGACAACCATTAGAACAGTTTCCAGGTTTTTCCAAGGGTAGCTGCATAGACAGAGACCGAATCACTGATTTCTGCTGCACATCCAGTCATTATGTTTTATAAGTAGGCATAAAATATGTCAGAAAACAGCTTCAGGTGTTATTCCTGGTAGGCTCAGGCATCTCTTCTTATTTGTAGTCATCCTCACAGTAAGTGTTTTTAATCATAGTCTGCTGACTGAATTGGGCCAGTACTCTTCAGGATTGGTCCACTGGTTTTCTGTCCAGCTGAGTACTGTGGCTCTCCATCACGAGGCTATGTGGAAAGTTCCTACCATAATGAGTCACAGAACAGCAGCGAATTTAAAAGTATGTGAGGATAAATATACACTTCAAATTTAGATGTGATAAGGTAATTACATGAAGCAGACATTTTTCTAATGTAGCGCCATTTTTATCAAATTTGTTGGATTATATTCTCAGCCAGGTGAGGTCAGCTGACCAGCTGAAACTGTCCAATGAAGGTCAGTGTTTCCTGTGGGTTTATTGCTTTTGGATTTGGGGATGTGCCTCAGGCTGCACTGTTTCTGTGACGCACAAGGAGAATGTTTGAAAACCGTGAATGTCCAGCGTGGAAGATCAACTAAACTGATGCTTTCAGGAAAACAAAGAACAAGTCATGTTTGTCTGCCACTGCACCAGCAAAAGCATCCCGCGGTCGTTCGAGAGGGTTTAACTCGAGTCCGTGCAGACTGGATTTAGTCGTTATTACGTGTGTTAGTGTGTTCTGTGTTTTCCTCATCCCGGCGCTTCTCCTCCTCCTCCCCTTCCTGAGCCCTCACTATTCGAGCTATGATTACGGTTCAAAAGGTGTACCGGAGGGCCCAGACGGGAGGCGAGCCGTGGGTGCAGAGGCGAGCGGGGTGGGGAAAATGAGCAGTGATAAATCCGAGACGGTGGAGGTGATGGAGACGCTGCTTCCTGGAGCTGCAGCGATGAAGGGAGATTGTGATCCGTGCAGGTTTTCATTATAACCAGACACCGTGGCTTTGCCCCACTTCAGTGACCAAATACATCATAACAAAGGTGTCCTGCTCCAAAGGCTCATCCAGACATGGCTGATAATTCACCTGCCTGCCTCCGAATCATCTGCATGCTCCTCTGTTATGAATTACAAAGTCATCGTGCAACAGCAGACCTGACCGGGTCAGATTGCATTAGTGGCTGTTTGTCTGTTTGCATGAGCATGACTGAGACAGCAGATGTAAATAACATCATAAACGCTTTACAGACATTTAAACCTTTAAATGGAGCGGAGGCCGGCCGGCCGTGCATTCTTCTGCTTTTTTGTTCCGCACAGCTGCTTTTCGTCAGCACATGTAGGCTGCTGCATATAAAAGGGAGTTATGTAAGCCGTAACACACTCTCATACGTCCTCTCACGAGAAAATGGATGAGGCGAAGGCCAAGTCCATCATTTTATTAGAGCATCTCCAAGTATATGACTGTGTTAATTCCACAAGCAATTACAGTAAGCAGATGGATGGAAAGGCTTTCAAGCTGTCGTGCCTGTTTTAGCCTTACCTGTGCCGTGGCTTTAAGGGAGACATGGTGAGTTAGTTTTTTCATCACTGCAGTTTGTCTTTACTTAATTATATCACCAAAACTTGAAAAACTAAACGTAATTTGCACAGGTGCTGCAGTGGCTTTTTAGAAAGTTTGACGAAATAATTTTTTAAGCATTTTTAATACAACGCTTCCGAAACTTAACCAGCAGGGTCTCAGAAAAAGGCGTTGGGTTTTAAATAATGAAGGGTCAAGAAACTATCCCTGCACCATCGCATCACCGTCAGTCTGAACAGTGGATACAAGGCAAGATGGGTCCATGCTTTCACTAAACTCTGACCCTACCTGTCCTCGTCATGTGTCCTCATCCGCATCACATGACCTTAAAAATGCTTAAAAATAAATATCTGGTGCTCTTCCTCAGCCCTGCTCTGCTTCTCTGGTCAGGCTCACCAGCCTGCAGAGCTTCTTCTTCTGTAGTTATTGTGGTGCTCAGTTTGTGAAAGCGTGAGGGAAAAAATTGAGTTTTCGAGACAGCTTCCTGCTCGCATATGACAGTGTTTGCCACATCAGCCGAGGGCGTCATTGCGAGCCTGGATTGGCTGTTGTGTGTCCGCCAAACACATTAGTGGACAAACAAGGACGTTGCTGTGGTGTTAATTGCCGTTAGCGGGCCGTCCTTTACAATCTGTCACTGTTTGCTTGGCTTCACTGTGCACTCATCTGTCTTCCATTATACCCCCTAATCAGTATACATCATTTACATTTGCATATGTTCACATTCACAGATGCTCCTCGTGTCCACAGTCACATCAAGAAAAGCTACAAGAAGCTTTAATAATGCAAGCATTAGTGAGAAGTTTCCCCTCTCTGAATCCATTTCTGTGCTGACTTGTAACTCTGACTGTTGTTTGGAACAAACATTTTTTTAAAGAAAAGGCAGAGACCTGATCAGAAACTGCACCCAGCAGCTTACTGGGTACGAATATGCTGATAATGTAGATTTACAAAGGTTTTGGTTCTGTATCAGAAGCGCTGCCTGCAGACAGGGCGGTCCTGCCGTCTCCCTGCGAATCTTCTTCTCTCTCCAATCACAATTTTACCTTGTATCTGCTCCTCTTCCTGGAAAAATAGAGAAAAGATGCCTCCCTGCCTAGCTTTGACTATAAATGTCATTCTACCAATTCTACTTATTATCTAAGTTTGGGACATTGTGTTTGGACTCCGTAGGCCCAGAAAATATCCTCCCGACTTTTAACCAGCATGATGTGTAAGCATGTTTTGCAAAACCCTCAGAACTTCTACATGTCAATCACGATAACTCATTTCAGTCATGGCGCTGAATGAAGCTTCTGACCTTCATTACACGGAGTGCCAACTCTTTAATGCGCACAGCAATGTGTAAAAATCATAAAAAACAACTTTATTTAATCATATTATCCCTAACAGCAGCAGCAGTCTGCAGATGGACAAATGTGCTGCTTTCAGGGATTTTTGTATGTTGTTTGCAGCCCAGTTAGCCAAATCTGATCTCCTCGGCACTCGTCTCTGTGCAGATGCACAGCTGCTAGCTTTCAGAGGAAGGTGCAGGTTCAGGCGGTACATCCCACCTAAACCAGCCAATTATGGACGGAAGGTCTGATATGACTGTCACGCTAAAACTGTGCAACCTCCTATCCCACATGGTCATGTAACCCCTGAAATTTGAAGTAAAAGCACTTTGTGACGCTTTCTTTAGTCAATTATCAGAAAGCAGATCAACATCCACAGTAGCATCGTGATACATCACATGATAGTGATGTTCAGTGGAGAAACCAGACTTTGGCTTTAACAATGAAGTTTGTAGCAGGACTTGAGGGTGTTTATATTCTCTATTCTCTATATTCTCTAACGTGGATCTCCTGTCCTCGTGAAGCTATGAGGGCTCAGAAATGCTGGGAAAATGATTTAAAAGGAGCAATTTTGAACAGACTCCTCGTGCATTCTTACGGCCTATGACTGGGAAAATATTGGGATGTGATGTGGAATAACCCGTACCCAGTTTTGCAGTCACATGATGGATGTCGGGCGATTGTGTGTCTGCCTGTCTCTTGAGGTTTTCTCAGTTGTTTGAATAAAAGTGATGATGCGTCTCCCTCCTCTGTCTCCCGCAGACCCAGCTGAATATTCTCCTGGACAAGCTCCGCAGCACGGTCAGTGTTTGCTCCTCTTTTGTTTACATGATTGATGTTGCGAGCCGTCCTGTCCGTACATCTCGCAGTCCCCACCTCCCCTCCCCCTCGGTGCCGTGCATCACGTCCTGAGCCCGATATGATGAATGCCATGAATTTGTGATGTAGGTTGTGGATCATGCTGTTGGTGTAATAACTTGTTTCATCTTCTCTGGTTTCTTTACCCCCCAACTCCTCCTCCTCCAGGGCTCCAGTTTTATTCGCTGCATTAAGCCGAACCTGAAGATGGTCAGTCACCAGTTTGAAGGAGCTCAGATCCTCTCCCAGCTGCAGTGCTCTGGTCAGTGTTTCCTGCACACTCTGATTTTAATGTTTGCACCTGGAAGGAAGTGAGGTCATTTCACTTCTAACATCACTTCCTGTCTATTCTGTCTTTTTGAAGAAGCAAAACATGTCAGGGCCTCGTTGTTCTGAGGTGTTTGAACACTTTTAATAGACTTAACAGTCTCCTCGAGACGCTTTGTATTGTAAGGCAAGACTCTACAATAATAGAAAGGAAACCCCAAGAATCAGATGACCTGCTATGAACAAGCACTTGGCAACAGTGGGGAGGAAAAACTCCCTTTTAACAGGAAGAAACCTCCGACAGATCCAGACTTGGGGAGGGGCGGGGCCATCTGCAGTAAGGGAGGAAGATGTGACAAAGACATGCTGTGGATGAGAGACAGAGATGAATAATAACTAATGAAGCGTAACTAAGGGAGGATTCAAGGTCACCTGATCCAGCCCTAACTATACACTTTAGTCTTTAAGCCTAATCTTAAAGGTAGAGATAGTGTCTGTCTCCTGAATCAAAACTGGAAGCTGGTTCCACAGAACAGGGGCCTGAAAACTGTGCAGTTCATAAATGGCAGCACATTATTACAATGGTTATGGTTTTGGACAGTTTTCTTTCTTCACCAACAAAAACCTCACAGTACAAGTGTCACATTAGCTCTCTGTTAGTAAAAGTTAATGTTCTGGCACTGTCTGTGTGCCTGAGGTTTGAGATTTTCCCATAAACTGTGCCTCAAACAGCAGTGCGTAGGTCTGACGTCCAAAGACGGCTGATTGTTTACTTATTAAAAAAAAAAAATCTGTCCTTCTGTCCACAGCTGTTGATAAGAAACAAACTTCTGTGTGACTATTTTATAATCTCCCCTTCAGCGCGTTTCACACATCTGTTATCAGTACGTCCTATTTGTCCTATTTAAATGACAAAAAACATGCAGCGCCTTTACAGGTGACACCGAGACTGCAAATAAGAACAAAATGTCACGAAATCTCCGAAAAACACGGAGAAATTTTACCAGAGAGAGAGGGCGAGACAAAAAGGAGGCAGTGACTCATCGTCTTTTACAACAAACAAGGATGTTTTTCAGACGAGTCTGCGGGAAAATAACAAGGGTTCAACGGTGTGAGAGCAAGGTTTGTGAATTATTTGAAAAACGAGTTTAAAAGTTGTACAGAAGGAAAACAAAGTGAGTTTAAAAAGTGACAAAACTGCTGAAGGTGAGCTCTCTGTCTTTATCGCCACAATAAAGCTCTCACACTGTCTTGTGTTGTAAATCAAACGCACCCAAACCGCCCACTGTTGGGTCAGGATCAAGCAAAGGTGATATGCCTTTGGCCAGACTGTGATTAGGTTGTGATTAGGAGACCCTCATCTTGGAAGGATCACTGCATGATATTTGTCAGGTAACACACAGTTGCTAACCAAAAGAATGTGCTAATTTTTTCCGTAATTAAGGAGCTCGTCAGGTTTGTTTTGGCCCGGTGTGCTCCGAGAACACGATTTCAGGTAGAGCTTCGTTTCAGTTACACAGACCTGCAGATTTCATTCGTAATACAAGCAGGAGAGTGCATCAGGAAAACAAACCGTCTGAAATTCTTTAGAGCTGCTGTTGATCTGATCGTCCCCACAAATGCCAGCTCACCTGTGGAAAAGCCACTCGTGGATGAAGCAGGTATGAGGCCTGTTCTTCCCTCTGTGCCTTTGACCGGACGCAGAGTCGATCCAAGGTCGGTGCTCTTCCCGCTGACACGTTGTCTTTTCTGCATGTTTTTATCCTCTGAGGCAGAAACTCCTCTCAGGCACAGTGCGCGCAACGCAACACTGCAGGGAGGCGTGCTGCGTTCAGGGCAAACTCAGGGACTACATGTCTCTCTCCTCACCATCCCGAAAGGTTCACAGCTCACAGAAACACAAAGCTGGCAGCACATCTGCGAAAAACTCAGCTCGGCACATTTTAAAAGTCAGTTCAGGTTTTAGGACGACGTCATCGTTGGAGGTGTCATTTTATTTGTATTTCTTTTTCTTTTCTTTTTTTTTTTTAAATAATAATAATAATTTGGACATTAACGGCATTTCATTTTAGATTTTAGAACAGAAAGCTTTTTGTGTCAGGTTTGATTTTATTCTGAAGGCTGATGCTTTGATTTTATTTTGAAGCTTTGATCTGCTCCCATACTGTACATTAAACTCCAGCTCATGATTTACAGTCAGGAAGATTTTTATAGGCTGTTAGTAAAAAAACACGGAGATGCTACACACTTTAACATATCTCACTGCCATCAAATTAAAAAATGATGCCATTTTTCCTGAAGATGGTTGTTTAAAAAAAAATGTGTGATGTGTTTTCTGAGTGATGCTGTTTTTTATTGCACATCTGTAAAGGAAATGGCTTCATTAATAACACGCACAACAAAATGGGAGCTTCCAAATAAAAACGAGTGCAACAAAGTGCTTGTTTATGCCAATGATCTTGTTTTCCTAATTGTTGGAGCTCATCGCTCGTAGTTCAAATTAAACTGTGATTAATTGCCCAACACCCATTTGAAGCCACACAGTAAATCAACCTCCACGGCGGCACTGCGAGAAGAGAAATTGCGACAGATGTGTTTCGTTAAAAGACTTATATTTTTAAAAAAGGTGTTAAAAAGGATTTGAAATGTGTTTTTGATGCAGCTTCGATTTGATAGCTCACGAAAAGTGCAAATAACAGAGGATTTACTAAACACGAGAACAAAAGTTGATTTTAAATTGATTCTGTTAATTACTTTTTCCTGCCTTTTTTTTGTTTTTTCAAGTAAATGTAAATTGTAACCAGTCGGTATTTTAAGCATACCCAGATGGCCTGTATTTCCTGTGGTCCTGCTTGTGACTGTGGCCTTATTCTTAAACATTTTCTTTTTCTCTCTGTGAGATTCACCCCCATCTCTTCCCTGTCCTTGGCTTTGGAGGTAAAGAAGTGATGAGTTCAGATTTAATATCCTCAGAGATTCGGTTCATGCTCGCAGAGCTCAGATACCGCACCCCGCCGAACTCTTTATCAGTTTTATTGTGCTGAGAATCGAAGTGTTGTTGGTCTGGAGTAGACGTGAGAGACTTCGGTGTACCAGCTCGACACAGTCGACAAAGTGGGAAGCTCAGCAACAGCCGGGGCAGAGAACCTCTGAAAATGAGATGTAGATTTAATCTGAGCCTGAGACGGGGCAGGGTTGTCTGACCCGAGCTGCCTTGAGCAGAAAGTACAGATAGACTTAGAGGGCTTAAGTAAATCAGTCCACGTTGAAGTTGTGATACACCTTGCGAGTTAGACGCAGGACTTGATAACCACGTGTGGTGTTACAGCTGCTGGAGGGGAGGCTCACAGATTCAGGGTTTCTTTTCTTCTTCAAACAAAAGCGCAGATCAGCTTTTAATACCTTCATGCCCCCCAAAAGGGCTCCAAGGTGAAAGCCCACACTTCTGAAAATTGCCTCCATGTAGCTGTGAAGGGTGATGTTTCAATTAAAGATGATATCAAATCCCCAAACAGGAAGCCGTGCAGCAATTACAGCTGAAAGCCCGATATGAGTTGTGTTCAGCTCGGGGCCAGCACTCAACAACTTTCAGCTTTATCTGAATACACAAGAGGGAACTTCTCTTATCACGGGGCAGCGGGCGGAGGAAGTCATTCAGCAAAAGAAAGTGCTTCGCGGTCGATGGGCTGAAGGTAATGATGGGGAAGATTTGAATTTGATCCTCGGGCTCCGGACGGTGTCTTGTGCTGCTGATTGTCACTCATCACCACAGTTTTATTAATCAATGAAAACTAATGAAATAGCAGAGACGTGAGCGTAGGCTAAACACAGTAGGAATCTAGGCAGTGTCTCTGTTGCTCTCAGTTAGTGATGCGCCTCCAGGGTTCAAGTTAAAATAATCCTAAAATGTCTTATTTTGAAATTATATCAGTATCAAAGCTGGATATGCTCGCTGCTGTGGGAATGTCCTCATGCATTTTTTTTTCTTTATTTTGGAACGAAGTCATGTAAGCAAAACCATAGACTGTAAACAAAAGATGGACACATCCAATAAAGCAGTACTGAAGCTGTGGCATCAGCAGTTTGGCTCCCGCCATTTTTCCGTTGGATGCTGAGATTAATAAAATACTGACATTACACCTACAGAAACTGAAGCACAGACTTTTTGCATGGTTAGTCTGTACAATCCAGTCTGTAGAAACCAAAACTGTTTCTTTAATGGGACGGAAACGTGATATTTAATGCTGGAGAGGCTTTTTTTTTTTTTTTTTTAAACAGTGATATCTGTGGGTTTGAACAGTTGGGCGTAGCCATTTCAGAAGTGCCTTAAACCTGCATGACCAGCAGGGGGCGACTCCTGTGGTTGGAGAAGTATAAATATCAGAATGTACGATAGTGCAAACAGACACAAAGTGGCACAGTGGTAATTCTAACAATAATGCTGTTGGCAAACACCATAACAGGGAATAAATTATAGAGGATACCATAGTGCTAATCCTCCCATCTGGTAAAGAACAGATGGATGGAGTATGATATCAGAGTGCTGATGTGCATGTGCAGATTTTTAAAGTGTTTTAACTGGTTGAACAGAGAGGAGTCATACAGTCTAACAGCCACAGCTGGAAAGGATCTCCTGCCGTGCTCAGTCGTGCAGCACTGAGCCTTTCACTGCTGTGGTGACCAATCGGTGACTCGCGCACGGCCTGGATCGTCCACGATGCTGAGTATCTTCAGTGACCTCCTCTTAGACATCTCCACCAGTTCCTCTTCCAAAACTGACACCAGCCTTCCCAGTCATTTTCTTGGCATCAGCTGTTTTCGCCCTACTGCTCAAGCACAACTCCACATAGAAGACCACCACATCGTGATAGAACATAGACCGTGTGCTCCTACAGACGTCTGTCATTCTGCACGGTCCAGTGTGCTTTCTGTGTGAACCGTAAACCGAACGGTTCTTACGCAGCTTCTGTTCATATATCTGAACTGCCTGAGCCACAGTGTTCATCATCCACCTCAAACATCTGTTCCCCTGAGGATTGCAGGGCAGAACGAAGCATCCTGCTTCCTAAAGTCTGTATAAACTCTAAGTCTTCTTGGTGATGTTCAGCTTGAAATAGCTGAGCTCCACGAAACTGTCAACCTCCGACTTCCAGCACTTCACAGCTTTCTTGTTCTGAACTCAGAAAACACTTTTCTGACGAGTTTATGGTCTCAGTTCTAGTTTGAACATCAAGATAATTTTGTAAATTATATTATTAGAGTCAGAAGGGGGAATAGCTAGTCTGTGCTCATTGGCTAACATCTTGTACAGCCAAAGTCCACGAACCAGAAAGCGACATCGCAGTGGCTCTGATTGTGTTTTATGTTCAGTGTGTCATAGCAAATACAAAAAAGTTCTCTGGTGCATGCTTCCGTCTTATGCAGTTTGAACGCTGTGTTGTCATTTTATTTCTTTATTTTATCTTTGAGCCATATATTCTGCGTTTGTGCCGTCCTGTGATTTAAACTGTTAACTCATTTAACGTGGCTGTGAGAGTACTTTATGCTGAGGAGGGGGTTGACGAAATCAGTGGAAAAACACTCGATGGAGGTCATGAGCTCCAAAGCAACTTAAGGACACGAACAAATACTGCAGAGAGGATGAATGAATGCCAATTAGCAGCATCTGTTTGACATGAAAGAGGCCTGAAAATGAGCCCTTTGATAGAAGCTTCCAGAGCAAAATGAGATGACTAACAATGCTTCAAAAATGGCGAACGATCTCCGTTTACAGGCGGTCTAAATAAATAGATTAATGTAATGTGTCAGAGGAAAGTTGTGGCAGCACAAGCAGCAGACAGAAAGGGTCACAAAGCTGAATATGCAGTGTCTGATAAAGGATGCTAATTGGCATGCGCAGACTGTTTGGACCAAGCTCTTTAAGCAGCCTTTAGCTGCTTTGAATTTTTTCTATTTGGAAGTTCTATTAATGGGATCAGCCGAAGCTCACTTCCATTTTTGTGCCAGTATACCTGAGAGTATTTTGATTTTTACCCATACGTCTAACAACAGATTGCACAATCCAGTGTCTAAAAAAATAACAATGCCATCTGTTTTGTTTTTCTGGGAATTATATTGTTCCTGTTTTTCCTGACAGCTGCCGTCAGGTCCGTAAGTACTTGTACAATGACAGAGCTTTTGTAGTTTTGCCTCTGTACACCATCACTGAGGATTTCAAATCAAACATTCAAGATGTTTATGACTTAAGTGCAGACTTTCTGCAGCTGTAATTCAAGGTGCTTAACAAAAGTACTGCATCATTCTTTTAGGAATTACAGAAGTTTTTATACAAAGTCCTACATTTTCTCAAAACTAACTGCTAGTCTGACATCATTTTAAGTATAAGCACTGCTTTTAATACTTGGATGAAAATCTATTGCAGTCAGTGATTTCCTGAAGTCTAGAACCCGTAGACATCTTGAGATCCTCTGCAGGCCTGTTTCTGGGTCTCTGTTTTTGTTTAACACCTGCAAAGCTGCTCTGTTGGGTTCAGACTTAGGTTGCTTTTGCAGTTTATTTGGGTCATTATTCATCTGTTTTGTGAAGCTCTGTCCGATCAGAGAGTACAGCCCTGAACACTTCAGGACTGAGCAGAGCAGTCATTGATGAGCAGTCATCAATAAACTCCAGTGACCTGCTTTCCCCAGCAACCATTCATGCCCATGTTTTAACATTAGCTCATCAGCTGTTTCGTTCTTTCTTCATTCTGGTACAGGTTTGTCTTGAATTTATAAAAAAAAACAAAAAACACCAAAAAACATGTTGTTGTTGTTGTTGTTGTTGTTTTTTATTAAAAAAAACAAGTTTCTTTTGTTTTGTTTTAACTACACATGCTCTTTTAGATGTTTTCTGGTAAAGTCTAATTCTAATAAAGTCTGCTCTTGAGTGTAACCAGTGGTTTGCACCTTGTTGTAAGCTCTTGAAAGTGATACTCCTTAGTTAGTTTTTCTCTAACCTCTTGTTTCTGAACCATGGAAATAATTCTGCGATCATGTGCTTTAGCTGTCATCTGTGATCTTTCGGGTCTTTTGTTGTTGGTGAGCTGCTCAGAGCATTTTTTTTTTTTTT